CGACTTCATTTTTGTAGCCTTTCCCGGGAAGACTGGCTTCCTATTTCCCCGGTGGCTCAATGGTTGTCGCCCCAGGCTACTCTACATCTCTAAAAGATTAACTAACAGAAGCACCTTTAATGGAGATGCGGGTGTCACTCATTCACACAATTACAGCAGAGAAGTGTGGTCCCTGGGGGCCACTGGTAACTGGTCTCAGAGAAGAAACCCTGGTTAAGGGCTGCTGGATCTCCTTGATGACCCCCACTTGTCTAGTGGTGCTGAGATGGTGGCTCTTAGCATCTAAACAAGGGGTTATCGTTGATTTCCACTCTGACTTCGTTAGAGAGAATCATCACCTACTTATAGCCAGGATCCAAGCACTGACGTGGTTCCCGATCTGACGACCATGCCAGACTCCTCGGTGAGGGGACCACACCACGTCAAGCTATGCCCAGAGTGGCCCGCGGTTATCAGTGAACTCTCGAGTGGCACCTAGAAGCCAACTCTAGACCAAATGTACCACCCAAGCCTGTGGCTGCGCTCATGCTCTCAGGCGTCCTGAGCAAGAAGGATTCAAGACTAAGGACTCTGGAGAACCAGGGGCCCAAGATCTCCTTTCCAGAAGTTTCTTTCTTTTTTCCCTAAGTACCTCTTTCCTACTGACTCAGTCCTTTAGTTCTCTCCACTGTTAGCACGCAACCACCGGAGCGCCTTATCCCAGGCCGGCGGGAGGTTCTGGGAATTAGCTTTCCCTGTACTGTCCCTGCCTAATGTCTCAGGCACTGAGGTTCAGGGCATCAGCAGACAAGAGCCAACCCGGTTCAAACGCACCGGACGCCAACCTCTCCTCCCTCCCAGTTGCTAGGGAAGTTTTCCATTTCGTTTTTCAGCCGGCCACCGAAACGCCACGCTGAGGGCAGCGCTTCCAGAAGAACCCGCCCTCGAACGGAATCACAGCACTCTCCAGAAAAGTCTATCTGCCGCTGAAACCAAAGCCCTATGGGACATTAGCAAGATTTAATGCAGAGTGTCAGAATTTGCTTTCCTCCGCGTCTGAAACCTCAAGGGCAACTGAAGGCTTTGATGGCTCCGGGATAGCCCAGGAAGGTTCTAGGCTTAGCTGGTTATAGTCTCGTTTTTAGGGTCAGCACTGCGCAAACGCCCGGGAGTTACAAGGTCACCCTTGACATATTGCTGTGAGAAACATAATGGGGTCCCCCGGTGCTTCGAAAATTTTTCCTGAAAATTTCTTAATTCAAAAAAAGGAGTTTTTTCCCCCTCAAAAGTTTTCGTGAGCGTATTCAACACCTATAGGGCCATACTTGAGCAAGCACGTTCCTATCGGTTTTCCAGACTTTTCCACTTAAGACTTTGAACCTCACTAAGTGTAAATTAAAGAAAAATGTATGCCGAATCCATTGATTTCAAAATAATATTAGAATTTTAATACAAGCCTTCTGTTTTCCTAGTTAAAAACGTGCCCGGATTGTTGAAGCAGACCGGGGGCTATGGGAATTAACAAAGTAAAAAATTAAAAGCTATTATTTTCCTGTATTCCCTCTAAAACTGGCGGGGCCTCTCTGCTTTCATGAAGAGACTTAATCCTCTCTCAAAGGCCCCGAGGATTGATTTAGGCTGCTTCCCTTGCCCACCTACGCCTCTAGTCTCCATCTTTAGGGGTAGAAGGATTTACAAAAGATCCCGATTTCTTGACTAAATCAAGTAAGTCATCGTTTGTGAGTAGTGTCTGTACTGGGGAGTTGGGGTGTGGAATACAGAAATACCTCTAGAGTTTAACATTTCGTCTAATTCGAAAAATCAGAACATGCCCTCGGCGGCGCCACGCGGGCTCGAGCCTGGCCGTAGCGCTCTAAAACCTGGGCTCTCAGAGCGCTGCCTTCCGGATGGGCTCTTGGAGGTCCCAAATTGCACTCAACGAAAACCTGCGTGCACCGAATCGAAAGCGAAACGGGAGGTGGCAGGGCTGAGCCACAACCTCAGAGGTACCCGCAAGACTGCAGGAGGATGATTGCGGAGGTGAACGCCCAGAATCCTGTTTTTTTTTTTTCCCCTAGAACCGCACAACAGCGGCGGGTCTTTACCTTGTGAGCAGTTCCGGGGGCGCTCGCCCGCCGCCTTGAGAGAGGACCAGAACTTCAGAAAACTGAAGGACCGCAGGGAGCCTGGCAGGGTCTAGATCGCTGTGGGCCTGGGCTTCTCCGTGGGGCCCTTTCGTAAAAAAACTCGTATGACTCTATGTTCGCTTTGCCCTTTGAGTAAATAAAGGTGGGGCACCTGAGGTTAGGGATCCTGTAAGGCTGCCTGAAGCCACGGAGGAACTCTCCCTTGCCTCCAATTCAGGAGTCTCGGAAACTTTGGCCTGGTCTGCACTCATTCTCTCAGCTGAGCCTTAGTGCAGTCCCCCAAGGCCTGCACCTTCCTCCCAAGGGACCGCAAAGTAATTCTGAGGCTGAAGTTTCCGAGGCTCCCCTCCACTTGTAACTGCTTTGGGGTCCGGACTCAGAGCTGGCAGAAGTTGCAAGGATCGATGGACCAGCCGGTGCTGAAGATCCCGAGCCGCAGAGACCGGGCCTATTCCTCTGTCCATTTCTACCTCGGCGCTTTGCCTAGCTCCTGGGAATATCTCAGGATTTTCCCTGAAGCCCTTGTCCTCTCGGCTTTGAGTAGACACCCTTATAACGGTGTTAGAGAATTGTCAACTCTCAAATGCCTGGCTCGGTTTCCCAGTTTGCTTGTAGGTTAGAGCTCCAGCCGCACAGACCTCCCTGCTGTTTCCTAAAGGGCCAGACTCTTGCCTCTCCTTCTCTTGGACTCAATGTGCGTCATCCTATGTGGCTCTGATATCTCCTTTAGTATTGAGAGGGGACAGGGACCGTGATTTGGCCTTTGTTGGCTGTTTCCTGTAGGACTGCCTCCGCTCCAGGCAGCATCGCAGCCTCATTTTGGGAGGTTCCAGGGCGACTTTCTTCCCTACCTGCCCTCTATGACTCTTCCCAGCAAGGGCAGGAGTTTGCCAAGTCTTCAGAATTAGAGGTCCCCAACTGCATGGAAATGAAGGGGACGGAAGTGGGTAGGAGGAGAGCTGCATGGGGGAGGGGACTGGCATTTACGACCTCTCCTTTACTGCCCTGGTATCAGTGAGGAAATAGGAATTTAGTAGAGTTACTCATACTGGGGTCACTCTGTGGGTTAGGGGCAGTTTCAGGTCAAGTAGCTGCTCTCTTTCTCAGCCAAATGGCCGAATGCAGGTGATATAACGCCTATCCTATCCTGAAGGTCCCCTCAGGCCATCAAGGGCCTAGTCTTCTTTCTTACCTCAGGGAGGCCCTAAGGCATCTTTCTCACCAGGATCTGACCAAGATCTTCAGAGCAGTTTGACTGTATGTTTGACTAGTATCTCGGCCTCCTCTGAGGTCATGCTAATGGAGTTCTTTAAACTACGAAAACACAATTCAGGGGTGAAGAAATCAGCTGAGCACCCTGCCCCTCCAGTCTCCAGGGCTACTTCTGTGGCCCTCGGAGCCTGCTGTCTGCTCTCACCTGGTAGCCACGAGTGACAGGGTCTGGGTTGTGGAGCCGGGCATGGAAGGAGTGTCTCTGTGTGCTGATCCCATTCTAGCCAGAGGTGGAGAGAAGGGTCAGCAGAACTTTCTAGATCTGCTTTTCGCCCTGTCCTGTCAGTTGGAAGCTCTGTAGCTTTTTTGAAGCCACATAAATGGATGCATTTGGTACGTGACCATGCTGGCCAATAAAAGTGTGTGTAAGTGTGTGTGTGTGTGTGTGTGTGTGTGTGTGTAGAATTCAAGTTTAGGTTAGAGGATGATTATGTCTACAGTCCCCCGGAAGCTTGTTCCAGCTCTACCTGTGATTAAGCTCAATATGAAGGAACATGTTTGCCCAGCACACTAAAAGCTTGGGCTGTGTTCCTGAGTTATTCTGGCCATCAAGGTCTCTACCGTGTCTCACCTGTGTCCCCAGGGTTAGTGCCTTAGAGTGCCTATATCCTACCTGGAGTGGAACAGCCAGAGTCATTGCTCTGTCAAGAACCAGCCCACCCCATTAGGGCCCAGCCTAAAGACAAAGGCCTTGGGGAGAGGGTCTTCCTCACTCCTTTGAGCCTTGCTTGGATTCTCTAATTCCGATGCTATGGGAAAAGAGAACGTTTAGGCGCTTAGATGGTTTTGGTTTCCTAACTAATTTTATCAGCTGTCGCGTCGACAATGATAGCGGACACTAAGGACTCTGGCCTGAACCCTGCAGCTACTTCAAGGGGCCTTGGAGGTCATTTAGGCCATCTCGATCAGGTTCCCTGAGGCCCAAACCGGTAACCAACTTTTTCCTTCTTCCCATAGTCCTGTTTTGGCTGTATCTCAGAATTACTGCTTTCCCACCGGCTGAGTACTAAACCGCGCTTTTCCGATGCCGGCTACTTCCAGACATCGCAGACCGCGGTCCCCTATGCGGTCGGTGCTCCTGGCCAGGACTCGGGTTTTCTGAGGTGCCCGGTTCTCGGGCAGGAGCTTCGCGACACGATGCGATGTCAGGGCTTCTAATGCAGAACCCCGAGACTGCGCTCAGAACTCCTCGACGCGCTCAGCACCTGCAGCTTCTTACCTGCGGTGCGCGGAGCCTGGCAGGGCGGGAGAGTGAAACCTCGGCGGCCCTAGAGCCGCGCGCCGAATCCAGCGGGAGAAGCTTCTAGCATCCGCCCGCCAGGGAACCCGGACGAAGCATCCGCTTCAAATCCGGCCCCGCGGGGCAGCGCAAAGCGAGAGGTTTGGATGAACAGAGGAGAAACCCAGGAAGCCAGAGTGCTCTGCGCCCGGGCCGGGGCTGGGGACGCAGCAGAACGAGCCCTCGAAGCACTCGGTCGTCCGGGCAGACCCGGAGTTCCTCCAGCCTCCACCTCCAGCCTCCCGCCAGCCCAGCGGGTTTTGGGGTTAGCGAAGCCGCGGACCCCGGGGTCCCCGGGCCCGGTGTCCCTCACGTGCACTCACCGTAGCAGGGGACCTGCAAGGCCGCGTTGTGGCCGCCGCTGCCCTCCTGGAGCTTGAGGCCGCCGTCCGGGGGCGTTTTGCAGGCGCCCCTCTGCAAGTAGAGATGCGCAGGCGGCGCGGGCGGAGCGGGCGGCGGCTGCGGGGTGGGCGGCTGCGGCTGGAACTTGTTAAAGGATCCCCGCGCCCCGGCGCTGCTCTCCAGCGGTGCCGCCAGGTCCTGCTGCCCCGCGCCGTAGCGGGCCCGGCTCTTGGCGTCCCCGAATCCCTGTCCTTTGGCCGCGGCTGACAGAAAAGTTGTACCGAACTTGTCGCCTCCTGGGAATCCCCTAAAAGGCGACGAACCTTCCCGGCTCTGCGACACCGGGCTGTAGTAGGCGTCCATGGCAGCGGCCGGCGACTCGCAGTAAGAGACGCAAGTCTCAGCGTTCATGCCTGGCCTGCGCGGGCGACGGGCGGGGGCGCCGGCGAGGGCGCGAGGACGCCACCGCGCGCCTTGGCTGGGAGTTGGGGAGGCAAGGAGGTGGTGGCAGTGCTCTGTGCCCGGCCTGCTCTCTGCTCTCACTCTCTCTCTGCTCTCTCTCTCTCTCTCTCTCTCTCTCTCTCTCTCTCTCTCTCTCTCTCTCTCTCTCTCTCTCTCTCCTTTCTTCTTTCTTCCTTTCTCTCCCTCTCTTCTCTCTTTCTCTTCCTCGCCTCTTCTCTTTCTCCTCCCCCTTCACTCCCTGTAGCTGGCCCAGAGAAAGAACCAAGAGCTTCGTAAAAAGATTCGGATGCTTCGGAAAGTTCACCAGATCTCCCAAACCCTCTTAAGGTTTTGAAGCAGGAAAAAAAGTGATTTTTTTTTTCCTGACTTGCTCCTTCCTGCTCCCCTCCTCCCTCCCCTCCTCTCCCAGCGCTCCGTCCTCCCTCCCCGGCCCCTCCTTTCCTCTCGCTGGAGATGCCACTCACTGGCTAGAGGCGATTCGACCCGGAGAAGCCTCGGGGCCTTTTGGATTTTAGGCTAGATTGGGGGGGGGGGGGTGCGGCCATCCCTTGGCTTCCGAAGCTGGGCTGCAAATTGATGCATGGTTTCAGCTAGGGTCTAGTGTATGCGAGAATGTAAATTTTATTGACAGGTTAAAGAACTGTAAGAGGTTTTGACTTTCGGAGTCAGATGGGCCGCTGGCCTGGCGAATCCTTTGAATGCTTCTTGGTGAACTTGGCAGAGCGGCCCGGGGCTTGCTTGCCAGGACCTTTGCTGGGGTTTCCAATTCTGCCTTCCCATTCCCGATTATTCCCAGTAGTTCACATACAACAGATCTCAAAATTGTCCGGACTATCCACTTTGGCGTCTTAACTATTTCCTCGCCCTGTAAGGACTCTGGACTCTGATGCAGTGAGCTATGCATTCGTTCAGTCACTGGAGGGACCCTAGACTGGCCTGGCTTCAAGTTCTGGAGCCAAGCACCTCGACTCCCTTTCTTAGGCTAAGACCTCTGGTCTCTTGAATGGCTGCCCCACCCCTCAAAGCCAGGTTGAGAATGGAGCCTTAAGAGACCATCCTTCCTGCCCTTCCTGTCACCTGTTGGGTAAGTCAGGCTCTCTCTTCACTAAGTCCACCCACGCAATCCCCCCTTGTAAAATAAAAGACTCAAATTTTGCTGATTTTGAAACAGGGTCTCATTGGTTAGCTCAGGCTAGCTTGGAACTCAGGATCCTGTTTCTGTCCCCATAGTGCTGGGATGATAGGCATGCATCACCACACCCATAGCAGGGATTTATGTGGACATCTGGATCTTCACATAGCAAGGGGAAAGAACTTTCACAGCCTGTCAGAAGCTCCTGTGCTGGACTAAGCATCGGTGGCACCCCACAACTAATAGAGAGAGGTTGGACTCTCTCATTTTCCTGTAAGCAAACTGGGGCTCTGAGAGGTGAAGACAGAGAGGTGAAGACACGTGGTGAAAAATCACAAGGTAAGAGGGAACACTGAAAAGTTGATCGTTCCTCATTGGAGCCCGTGTAGAAGGCAGTCCTTCTGTGTCGACTTGGTAAGTTGAAGCAAAGGTTAACAAAGGAGACCTCAAAGCTAACTTATAGGCTTCCAGCTGCAGAAAAAGCTCAGGTGGGCGATTCTTTAGAGCATCCCTCCTTAAACTGCGGGGGAAATCTGGAATGGGGAGGCTGGAGCAGATTGGAGGTAGGGAGTCCCTGAATGGTCTCAAGCAGAGGATGAGCTATCCACTCTCTGCACTGGAAGCACCCAGAAAAAAAAACATAGCTTCTACCTCCAATCTCACCTATCTCCCACACCACTTCAGCCCTTGTTATCTCCAGTCCGTACTCAAAGCAGACTGCAGAATCCCACATCTGGTTTTCATCGCTGGCTTACCTTGAAGTGCCCCGTTAATAAAGATATTCCTCAGAGCCAGGGGCGCTGGACCACTATGGCACCCATCCCCCCATGGCTGGTCAGAAACCTGTGTCTGTTTCTCTGGCCAACAGACTTTAACCACCCGAGAGCCTCTCGAGAGTCTCTCACGTTTATTGAATGTCTATTATGCCAGAAGTCACATCAATTTGACCTCATGTGCTTGTCTTACCATATCTACTTTGCTGTGAGTAGACTGAGTCCCTCAAACCCGAATCATTGTTCAGTTTCAGATAGTAAAAGGGTAGATAAATCTGCCGTTATCCTGAAATCCTGAATGTTTCTGCCAGGTTAAAGTTTCCTTCAGTCCTAGAGCCCGTGGAGTCCTCCCACCCGGGGAATCTCATAGGTGGCTTATCTTCCATCACTCTTGTGTTTTTGTCTGGCTCATGATTTGGAGCTCAGCCCTGAACCCCATGCCCTGTTAGCCAGGGTTTATACACTCACCTGCCTCGTTACCATTCCTGACCTCAGGGGTCCTTAACCACTATTCAAGCTCAGAGCTCTACTACTTGGTGCTTCCTGGAGAGCAGCCTCCTGGTTTTGGCACTCCACAAGCATTTGTAGAATAAAGTACTGGAGTTGGGGCTGAAGAACTTTCATTACACCCAGCCTTCCAACACAGCAGCAGTGGTCCAGGAACCCATGGTTCCCTTTAGCCGAGGACAACCAGTTGTCTGCTCAGCCGGCTCCTCTTTCCAAAATCAAGTGTCAAAACTTAATAGCGGGACAGCCTTTTTCTGGGCTGGACTCCCCTCTACTCCAGCCCAGAACAGTAAGTTCTCTTAAAACAGGGACCAGGCCTGTCTTGTGCACCACAGGTCTTGGCACAGCACAGATACTCATAAACTGTGTGTTGAACGAGTGAATGAAAACGTCATGCAGTTTCCAGAGGCATACAGACTGTTTTTGCCCAGGAGTTCCAAGCAAGTAGGAGTGACAGCGCTCCCTGGAACACAGAAACTGCCCTCAGCATCCAGATGCCGGCTGCCACCTTCCCACTCCTCCTATCCACTTCCTGCCTTAGGAAGGGAGGGATGTGAGCAAGGGATTTCAACAGTGAGGTGGGGGCCAGTTACAGTTGCACACTGTCTCCCTTGTACCCTGGGGTACTCAGCATGCATCCCAGGAAGCTGACCACTGAAGGCCCTGAGCTTTGGGCTGCCTGCTTCATTCCTGCCTCCTTCAACCTTCTGGTGTCTGCCTAGGAATTTGAACCCTGAGCACTCCTGCTGTGGCATTTATTGGAGTCTCACCCTGAAGGCCTTCAACTGTCTGGATCACAGCTATGCAATCACAGATAGATATGCAAGGAACCAGAGCTTGTATCAAGGTGGGGAAGTGTCTGTACATTAGTCTGCAGGTGTGTCATGCTGTTTGGGGCAAGTCCTTTGATGGTGCCACCAGGAACCTTCCTGCCAACCCCTGTGGATCCCCTCCTTTGGAACTCTCCTCACCCCCAGTGAAGCTGATGGTTCCTCTCTCTTCTCTGTTCGATTACTTGTTCACCCATCCATACATCTCGTCATCTTGACTGTCCCACGGGAAAGTCTAAGTACCATCACTGAGAGATCATGATACACACACTTGGAGCCTTCTGGTCATGTGGAAGCCATGGAGGCTGGCTCTGGCTCTAAACTCTGCTCCTTGATGCAGTATTTCTCTCACAGATGGTAACCCACGACGCTGGGTTGCTCTATAGTTCTCCCGAGGTTCCTTAACATGCCAGGTTGTGTCTCTTCAGTGCACACATCCCCCCCCCTTTTTTTTCTGCAGCAGGAACTGTGCAGGTCAGTGCTTGAGTCTCTCGCCTTCCCAGCTCATTCTCTAACTGCCCCTCTATTCTAGGGAGGTAGCAGCTTGGTCATGACTAGGGTAGGACACACTCTGCATGAGAAGGGAGAGGCAATCTTACTCCCTCAACTCTAGCACGAGATTCCCTTCCTGGAATGCTCCTGACATGATCTCTTATGTGCATGGATTATTTGTTGTGTCTTTTGGATAGAATGGGAGTCCACTGACTCCTCTGTGCTGCTGCTGCTGCTGCTGCTGCTGCTGCTGCTGCTGCTGAACGGACCACTGGGCAAGCGAGTGAACAGATGCAGAGAGGAGGATGCAGGAGGGCCACTGTTGGGTTGTTGATCAGAGTTGGAGCTGGTTGGGGGGGGGGCGCAGAACTGTGTGTGAGAGGGAGAACTGAGTTGATGAGAGGCTCCCCGATCCAGGGAAAGCAGCCTCCCCCACCTTTCAAAGGGAAGGGCAGATTCTGGGTCTCTTTGGGTCAGGCTGCCACCAAGTCTTCAGTTTCCCACTGTTCTCCTGCTTGGCTGATCATGCAATGGAACCATGGGAGGGACTCTGTAGCCCAGCTTGCAAGCCACTATCCAGCCAGGTGAAGTCACCTGACTGTCACAAGCCTCAGTTTCCATCTGAGTCAAAGGAGGCTTTCCCAACTTGGTGGGAACTGCTGTTCTGTGAACTGTGGGAAGTCTATGAAGTTTCTCAGAATTTGTTGCTTCGGGAGGACACTGTGGACACCTGGGTGGTAGAAGGCATTAAGATACAGATCCCAGAGGCTAAGGGACTTAACAAATCGTGGGGACTCTTTGGCGCTCAAACCCGTGGTAGTCAGGCATAGCAACGGCAGCTAACTGCAGGTCTCAAGTTCTCTCCCTCACCAGCATCTCTGTAGTTCCCCGCAGTGCAGAGCAGTGAGGTGCAGAAGATTGAGAGAGGTACTCAATTGCTCAATTCGAGGATTTTGAATATGAACTTGGGACTCCAGAGGCGGGCTGATTTCTGGAGATGAGCCCTGGGAAGGTAGGCCAAGCAGAAAGGCCCTGGTTTTTCTCTACTCAGGACTCTAGGAAATGCTCCTAGCACCCAGAATTAGAATCAGTGTCAATCCAGTGCGATGGAAGTGACAACGGGGACTCTTCCCCCTCCCCCACATGCCGAATTCCCTATCAACCGAGATCTGAGGCAAGCTGACCCAGTGAGTCCCCCACCCAGAGTAGATGGAGATTCAGAACAAATTTCGCCTACTGTCACACGGTTGCTGGAACATGGAGGCGGCCACCTCACCTCTCCAGTTGTGCCCCAGCAGCCATCCCCTTGGCCCCCAGCCTGGGGCAGCCATAGCCCCGGGAAAAGGCAGAGCGCCAGCCACCGAAGCTCTCTCCACCGGGATAGA